TGGGCCACCTCCACCACAGCCCAATCTCAGGCCTCTGGGCCAACTCGCCCATAGCCCAATCTCAGGCCTCTGAGCCAGCCTCTACCACAGCCCAATCTCACGCCTCTGGGCCACCTCCACCAGAGCCCAATCTCAGGTCTCTGGCCACTAGAACCCTTCTCTTCACAGTCTAGTATCTCACCTTGCCTCTTTAAGTCTTCCTAAGAGTCAAATCCTACAATAGCTTTTGTCTCATTTATTTTGAGCAAGGTCTGATAAGATAACACTCTAGCATAAAAAAGGAAGTGGGGCTTGGCCTTTAGGGAGAACCTCACTGTCTGGATGGAGAGAGATCTGAGTGCCCTAAAGGAGTTACCGGCACAGTGGACATGGATGGCACAAGAGGTCCTCCTTGTAAAAGGGCAGGCTTACAGAAACAATGAACACATAAATAACGTAATCTTAATTCACCATTTCCTGCCAAACTGAATGCTCTCTGGAACCACTCTTCCCTCAGCGTCTCAGCAGTTCAGGGTATCGGCTCTATTTTCTATCTTCAGTGAGGAGCTTAGCAGACATGTCTTGGCATCTGTTCTTTTCATGATACCGTCCCAACTTCAGATAAATGGGTAAAGATGAATCACTGAGTTTGCAGCTTTTAAGACAGATTTCTCATTCTGTTGCCTAATTTCATTTCTGCATGAGACTAATTTACCAATTTGTGAAACATTAGTGAAAATGGCAATGCATGAATCCCCCTGAAGACAGAATCTAAGTCTTTTACCTGGTGAAATCCATATGCCTTCATACGATTGATAGAATCTGCCAACATTTGTTGAATACTTCTTGAAGAACTGGAGGGTGACTAAAAATTAAATGAAACACATTTTTTTAAATTACCATTTAGAGGGGCAATGCAATTTCAGAAGATAACCTGTCAATGCCTCCCTCAGTTCAAGGTTCCCTAATACGCCCCCGCCCCCACAGACTTCTCACAGCTGGCTCCACCAGTGTTTCCCGCCAACACCTGAGTTCCTGAGCTAATTCTGACTGAGGCTGCAGGTCTGTGAAGCCTATGCCTCCTCCCTCAACAGGGTTTAGAAATTAATTATTGCCAAGAGCCAGGAGCTGGTGGTTTGGTCATGACAAATAGGTTTGTGTGTCCTGCTGCCATCTAGTCCCTGAGGCCCTGGTTTGACATTACTCGCTAATTCAAATTCTCTCCTTCCTCTCGTAACCCTGCTCTGGCCCACTCGGTTTTAGCTTGGACCGGAGAGATGCCGTAGTCTTTGACATTTAACTCTGTATAATGTCTTGCTTTCCTCTAGGACTGGAGACATGCCTGTAACGTCAATTTGGTGCCTGGGAACCCCGCCCATTTTCCCTGTTTGGGTTATACTCTTCCCCTGCTTCTTCTCCCCCTGCTCCTGTTACCCAGCCCAGCATCTAGGCTTCTACAGCTCTAGATGGATTTCCCAGTGGGAAACTCCTGCCAATGGGTTTCCCAAATCCATTGCCTGGATTCTCTGGTGTCATTCTTGCCTGCCTCGTGCCAACCCCTCTGGCACTGTGACTGACCTGGTGTATCATACCAGGTGCCTCCTAAGATCAGGTCAATTACACAGCTCCCATCACCCTTTCCCA